AGCAGAGAAAATTTCATGGCTAATCATGCTATAAATATTGAGGAAGCCCAGTGGATTATGTGAGCTGGTGGAAGAGAAAGGGTCAAGTTCAGTATCTCTGTACATTTAACACTAGAGTGCGCTTGGTTTGCTATGGCTGTATATCTGCCTAAAGCTGCCTGTTTATTTTCAGTTAGTAGTTTTTACTCTATGTTAGTGAAATAATTTCTAGTCTCTTTGCACTCGGTCTTTCCTACAAGTGTGATAGTTTTACACTGAGTCCCAGGTATAAAGCTCACCCTGTGTATAAAGCTAACCCCGAGTTTGTTCTCACTGCCTTTGCTCTGGTCTGGCCAGGATGGTTGCAGGTTGGGTGGAGAGTGGGTGGACAGGAGTTTGTCGGGGTATAGGAAGAACAGTGACCATTTTGATAAGAGAAGGCGGCCAGCCAGGTTTTACTTTCTCAGCTGGACGAGAGGGAGAGGGTGGGGTGAGAATCTCTGTAAGAGAAAACGCCATCACCTCCTAGACAAGGAAATGGCCACCTGAGGGGGCCAATGTAGCCAGTGCCCTCAGAGTCTGATGAAAGCATGGAGGGTCTGTTTGTGTAGTGTATTATTAAATAGGTACATTATCTGTGCATCATTTACTTTGAGCCACAAGTCCTGCCGTGCCACTAGCCTTAGTGCCTTTGGCTAAATGGGGCAAAGACAGCAGGAGTGATGCTGAGCTCACTTATAAGGTGGGGTTAAGACAGACAAGCGCAGGAGCCAGCCGTGGTCTGTTTCAGCTGGGCGGTTCTGCCTTTCTGGAAACAGCGCTATGTAATACTTAACACATTTAACGTTTTCACCACAAAGTTAAAACAGACTTTTCGCATGCTTTTTGTTGTTGTTTTCAAACAATACACAAGTATATAGTATAAATACGGAAACCCCCCATTTCTTCCACTGTTGGCCCCTTAGATTTTAGTCCCAGGGGATAACTAAGTGCCAAAGGCAGTGGAGGTGTGTCCTGCCTGGCCCTTTCTGTGTATACATGCACCTTGCGCATGTACACCACACACAGACACACACACACACACAGCTGATTTTGTTTTTGGAAAATAGGATCATGCTGCACATAGCATTTACAGCTCTTTGAAAAGGTCACTAACATCTCAGACATCTCCCATGATAGTCACAGTGCCTTTCCATTGTGTGTTTGTGTCATCATTTAATAATTCCTCACTTACTGATGATTCTTCAAAATTTTCCTTAAAGGCGTTTTCGTTTTTCTTTTGATTGTCATAAAATGCATATATGTTTAGTTAAATTTATATAAGCAAATGTTGAAACTGAACTCCCTATAGTCCCATCCTTCAGAGACAGTTATTGGTTCAGTGTGTATTTCTCCAATTTATTTCCAAAATGCATTTTTTTATGTTTTAATAAAGTTTGAAACATTCATTTTGCTAGCTTTCTAGGTAAAACATTCACACGGCCAGGATTCAAAAGGAACAAAACAGTGTCCTGTGAAAACTTGATCTCCTTCCTTTCCAAGCTGGTGCCCACCCAGGCTCTTCCCAGAGGCAGCCACTCTCAGATTCTTGCCTGTCCTTTCAGATGTATTCTGTACACATCCTATCAGATATATATCTATGACACACATGTAATGATAGTTAACTTCATGCACCATTTAGTAGTCTGGGTTTTTTTCTCCCTTAGCAATATATTTTGAAAATCTTTCCATCTGAGTCCTATGGTTGGTGGTTGATAGTATGCCTTTGCATAGGTATCATCCTCTTTTTTAAAAGATATTTGTGTTGCTTCCTTTTTTCTTTACTATTACAAACTGCTCTTCAGGGAATATTTGTCATTTTGCACATATATGGGTCTATCTAGGAAAAGTTATAGAAGTAGAATTGCTGAGTCCAAGGAGACTAATTTTGATAGATATTGCTAAAGTGTTCTGTAGAGGGGCTTGTCCTCTTAAGCATCCAGGAGCTCCAGAAGGAGCCTTTCACCAGACTCTCACTAACAGTGTTATCAGACTTCTTGATCTCTATAAATTTCATAGAAGAGAAATTGAATCTCCTTGTTTTCATTTGTATTTTCCTTATAAAGAATGTCAAATATTTAAATTATTTGAATTTCCTTCCCTATGAACTGTTTATATCCTTTGCCTATTTCCCTAAAGGCTTTTGTTTTCCTTACCAATTTGTAGGACGTTAGATATTTAAAGAGGGTATCCCATTATACGTGATATGAGTCATTAATAGTCAATATATTTTAAAATTCCTGAATCATAGGATTTGAGTTTTTCTTGTTTTACAGACTTTCATTAATGCCACAGTGCTTAGCACTGATAAATGCTATGGAAGATTCAAAGAAATTTGAGATAAGACTCATTCTCCCAGGACCCATGGGTGCCTGTCAGTGGACCTCAGTGTAAGGTCCCCCCCTCCCTCTACGCCCCAGAGTGCATGAGAGCCTTCCATCTATTTATTTTAGCTGATGTTGCACAAGACTGGTCTCAATAGACAGCCTTGGTGTTTTCACTGCGTCTTACCTCAGTTTCCCCCATTGGTGCACAGCATCATATATCGACCTGCCCACATGGAGCAGAAAAGCTGGCGTCTAGGCTGTGCTTGTGAACTGTTGCCATCAGCCAGGTGTAGACAAAAATCAAGTTAATGTCGGCAGGAAGAGGGGAGAGATATGTACAGTACAGTGCCCCTAGTGTCCTAGCCCTGAGCAGGAGAACAGGCCATGGCAACTTGGCCTTTTCTCACTTCTGTCTGCTTGACGCAGTCAAATCACCTGCTTGCTCCTGCTTTCGGCAGTGTGTCCTGGTCTCTTTCATTCAATAGGGGTAAGCCTGATAGGGTGCTAATGGGTTTCTTTTTTAATTTTTTATACATGATTCTTCCTTTCAAAACGAGAGTTTGATATACCCATTAACTAAAGAAGTACAGTGCCTTTTAATAATCTTCCCTGCTTTCTGAATAACTTAATTTTAGCTATATTTTATTACCACTTAAAGTAATGAGAAACAGTAGTACCTTGTTTTTATAGTTTATTTTTAAATAGACATATTATCTCTGTATCATTTACTTTGATTTTACTGCTTTTCATAATTTACAGTATGCTATAGAATTTAGTTCTCAGTGGTTTTCCTAATATTTTTCAAAATGCATATTAATGTACCCATTTGAATTTAAAAATAATGTTTTTCTGATAGTAAGTCCAATTTGGAGGATTGGTCTGATAATGAAGACTGTCTTTGCCAATTAAACGATATGGGCAATAGTTTTTATAACCTGAATAAGCTAAATCTGCACCCTAAACATTTTGACAAAAATATATTTAAAACAGTTCATTAAAAAATATATTGGCAAAGTTGTATGGAAATTAATATTTTCAATTTTCTCAACTCTTTCTAAGTATGTTGGATGAAAGTGCCTGAAACAGTTAGCATTTGGTTAAGTCTTGATAAAACCTTTTGGTATCTTCCAGAAACAGAAGAAAAGAATTACCGATTTAAGTCAGATTGTTTCCGATTCTGCTTTCCACAAAATTGGTTTTTGTTTGAAAGATGACTTTTTGATACTCGATCACCATTTGATTTTTGGCATATAATTCTGAAGAAGATCAAATAATTGAATGACGTTGTTAGAATACAATTTGTTCTCATTTACATATTTATGTGAACAAGATTTCTCAGTATTTATATGCAAAAACAAAGAGGAATAAAATTGATGCCAAACTTGGTTTCATTCCAGCAATATTTAATATTCACCTTTGGATAAATGAACTCATTGAAAAAATGCAGTTATAATGACATATTTTTGGCACCTCGTGATCATAGGAATTTAACAACGATCAGTTTCAACTTAGGATTTATTTCTCATTTTATATAGACTATTGGATACGTTTAACAAAATGACATAAGTTTTGTTTTTAAAAGGGAGTATTTACAGTACTCCAGAAATTAAAATTGTCATTTACGACAGTTCAAATTTACGAAGACAAATTAGATGTCAACTTTAAAATGTACGAGGGATATAAGTTTTAAAATATTTTCAAGGCTACAGAGCTATATTTGAAGAGCACTGCATTATAGGAAATGTGCAGCGTCCAGGAAAACAAAAACTAAATCCGCACCAGTCCTCTTTATCAGTTCTTTTTAATTGTGTCCACTGATACACACATGCAGGGCTGTATTATTTACTCAGCTTAAGAAAGATGCATTTTCTACTGATAGATTTTAATTCTATAATGAGAACTGAAAAATAGAATTTTAAATTTGTTTTCACAGCCAACCTTTCAGTCAAAATTTCTTCCATAAAGTAAGATATAAACAAGTAGATTGTGGAAAATGCACCACTGTGCAGAAAACAGGTAAACTAGAAAGTCTCCTTCTAGCCACTTGATCTCCTTGGATAAAAATACAAAACCCTTTCGAGTATGTTAATCTCCTTTCCACCACTGGACTGGAAGTGATTTGAGAGCAGGAATCACTTCCTGTGAGTATTCACTTACAGGTGCAAAGTAAATAGTTGATGCTCAGAAAATTTTGTGACAGTAACTCTGGATGATGAATGAGGGACTCCCTTCACGGGAAAAATATTACTATTTTGAAAAGAATTACGGTACATAGTTCAAAATTTAGAAAACTTACAGGAGAGGGAAAGTTACTTGTTTTTTAATGTATATGTTTGCTCCCTTTGAATTTTACCACGTGCGAGAATTACCTATTTAAAAATCAGAATGGAATTACCTGGTCAAAACATATGTCCTTCCTAAAAATCGTTCGGTATTTAACTTGTCTCAAGAGGTTGGACTAATTCATGTGTTCACCAGCAGTGTTGGTAGGTGCCTGTTTGTTCACCCCTTGACTTTGGCCAACACTGTGTTGTCTAGTCTAACTGCTTCATAACACATCTTTTCCAGCACCATTTAAAAAGTATTAATATTAATGAGTGGTTCCCTCCTGTATCACCCTATTTAAATTGCATGCTACTCTCTTCCTTATTCCAGGACAAACTGGTGCCGGCAACAACTGGGCGAAGGGGCACTACACAGAAGGGGCAGAGCTGGTGGATTCAGTGCTCGACGTGGTGTCTTTTTGGCTAGAATGTCAGACCAGACAACTTTGTTTTTGGTCAGTCTGGGGCAGGCAGCAAGTGGGCCAAGGGCCACTATACAGAGAGTGCCAGCTGGTTGATTCACTCCTGGACATATTGCGAAAGGAGTGTGAGCACTGTGACTGCCTGCAGGGCTTCCAGCTGACCCACTCCCTGGGTGGAGGAACAGGGTCAGGCATGGGCACGCTGCTTATCAGCAAAATCCGAGAGGAGTATCCTGACAGGATCATGAACACCTTCAGCGTGATGCCCTCCCCCAAGGTCTCGGACACCGTGGTGGAGCCCTACAACGCCACCCTGTCGGTCCACCAACTGGTGGAGAACACAGATGAGACGTACTGCATCGACAATGAGGCCCTGTACGACATCTGCTTCCGCACCCTGAAGCTCACCACGCCAACCTATGGGGACCTCAACCATCTGGTGTCAGCCACCATGAGTGGGGTCACCACCTCACTACGCTTCCCAGGCCAGCTCAATGCTGACCTCCGCAAGCTCGCTGTAAACATGGTCCCTTTCCCTCGCCTACACTTCTTCATGCCTGGCTTTGCCCCGCTGACTGCCAGAGGCAGTCAGCAATACCGGGCCCTCACGGTGCCAGAACTGACTCAGCAGATGTTTGATGCTAAGAACATGATGGCAGCCTGTGATCCAAGACATGGGCGCTACCTGACAGTGGCCACCGTTTTCCGGGGCCCCATGTCCATGAAGGAGGTGGATGAGCAGATGCTGGCTATCCAGAACAAGAACAGCAGCTACTTCGTGGAGTGGATCCCCAACAATGTCAAGGTGGCCGTGTGTGACATCCCTCCTCGGGGCCTCAAGATGGCCTCCACCTTCATTGGCAACAGTACGGCCATCCAGGAGCTGTTCAAACGCATCTCTGAGCAGTTTTCTGCCATGTTCCGCCGCAAGGCCTTCCTGCACTGGTTTACTGGAGAGGGCATGGATGAAATGGAGTTCACAGAAGCAGAGAGCAACATGAATGACCTGGTGTCGGAGTATCAGCAGTATCAGGAAGCTACGGCCAATGATGGCGAAGAAGCTTTTGAAGATGATGAAGAGGAGATCAATGAATAGAGGAGCGTCCCTGTCTCAGATACAATTCAGATGTTCTTTCTTTAACTCTGGTGTCTTAACTCTAATGGCCACCGAATGGTGTGCTTGTCTAAATATATGGGTACAGGCCCTCCTAAATGCAATAAAATTGTAGTTTTGGTCATCTGGAATAAAGTACATTAAATAGAGAATTGGCAGTCTTACCCAGTCAGATCAGACTAGGAAGATAATTCTATTGGAGGACTTGGAAGAACTAATGTGCCATCAATAAAGGGCTAAATAAACCACGCCTTCTATAAAGTGTTCAACCATGTCTGAAAATTAGCAGAGAAGTTAGAAAGTTTTCATTCTTTGTGATGAAACCTGAAGCTGAGCATTTTGCCTGACATCATATATGCAGTATTAAACTTTGAAACAATTTAGTCACAATAAAACCTTTCCCTTGTCTCTTCCAGCCTCTGCTTATGTGATAGATTTGTTACTTTGCATTGTTACAATGGTCGCTCTGGTGTCTGGTCCCTTCCTGGGTGAACTGCCCCTTCAGCTCACTAAAAGAACTGAGAGGAAAGAGGCTTTTCTTGAATTGCAGGTTTTAAGGGTGGTAGCCAGAATGTTCCTGAGCCTAAATAAAGGTAGTACACACATAAAAAGCCATCGTCCCTATTTGGATCTAGCACATAATCTTCCCACGGAAACTTTCACCTGCCTACATCGTGTCCTGGGCTAGTGGGTCTCAGGCTTCCCTTACAACTTGGCAGAGATTTGCCAGGGAAGTCAGAAAATGACAGACTTCTTTCAAGCTCTCGGTGGGTGAGGGGAAACTGGGCAGCGTGGGCTCTGAGAGCTACAGAGTTTCTTTCCATGGGCGCTCGGACCAAGTGGAGGCCAGTGGCCTGGCCCAGAATGAAAACCGAAGGGCACTCAGACCCAGAGTACAGGCTAGCGGCCTGGCCCACCACAGAGGGTGATGGCTTTTTGCATAACAAATCACTTTACTATTTCTGTAACTAGTCATTTTTGTAAGAGATCTTGTAAAGTCAAATTCCACAGGACAAGACCATGCTATTTTTATCATTGGCAGACACTGCCGTTCACCACTGGTTATTTGTCCTTGCCCCCTTTGAAGTTAGCTATGAACATGTGACTTTGCTTTAGCCAAAAGAATGTGAGTGGCATGTCACTTCCAGGTGGAAGCAAATGTTAGTGCTTTGCCCTCTGCTCCACCTCCTGAGTGAGGACCCGAATTCCTCCTGTAAAGATGACCCAGCATTTCTATCAGTCTTAGTCCCTGAGTAACTCGAGCAGAGCCCCCCGACGTTTGTTGGACAAAGGGCAAAAGAGAAACAAGCCTTTGTATCTTAGAGTCACTGAGGTCTAGGGGCACCCCACAGTGTGACCTAGCCCCATCAGGCAGAACACCAGTGCTGTGATGCAGTGGTTCACATCCAGGAACCACATTTATTTTGTGCTAAGCCCCAGCTTTGGGCAGACAAAGTGAATCACTAAACATGGGAGCATGACTTGAACTGAGGTGAGATCTTTTTTGCAGAGATCTGAACTGTTTTGTGAGGCTACAATAAGAATCCCCATCTAACTTGGAAATATGCTAGGATGGATTGACCTTGGAAGAGAAGACGAATGCTGTGAGCACCTGCTGTGGGCCAAGCTCTACTGAGGCCCCAACACAGGTAACACCACAGTGCCACGGGGTGCAGGTGTGACCGTTCTTGTACAGACAAGGCCTGCTGAGGGCTGCAGGAGCTTCTCCAGGCCATATGGGCCAGCGGTCTGACTGCAGTGCTTGATCATAGCTCATCCCAGAACATGGGGAGAAGTGGGTTATCAGCTGACCAATTCTCACGCACAGCTTTGTCACTTTTCTTACTGAATCAAACAAGACTTACATTTAGCACAGCTCACTTTATTCCAGCCAGGAGGCCTTGCAGCTGAGGCCTGCCAGAATAGCACTCACTGGTACCTCCTTACAGTGCATTGAAGGGGTACAGAATATCTCCTCTCCTGTTTGTGTGGAGAACAGCACGCTAAACACCCTGATGGTCGAGCCTTAAAACAATTCCTCACTATCTCCCACGAGCATCCTCTGAGGAAAGGATGTAGTCAATGTGGCTTCCACAGGTCTCTGACAGTACTGCTGTTAGTGGACAGCTGCTTCTGTAGCTGGCAAGCTGGAGTTCAGCATCTCTGGCCCTCCTGGAAGAGTGGTCACATGATGGAGTGGCCTGCCCAGGCCACCTCCCACCCCATCAGCCCAGTGCTGCTCCAGAGATGCCACTCGGTTCTGTACCTTAAGTCTGAGAAGTCACTGTTCCCACAACATACTTGAGGACATCAAGAATACACAAGGCAAACTGGAATAACATTAAAGGAGGCTGCTAAAAAAATATTAATAAATTAAAAATGTTTGGTACCTCCAAGTCCAAATAGTGGCATTTGAAGACTTGGTGCATATTCCTCATGCCATATTTTGTTAAGCATCTGACTGAGGCTTGAAATGCTGCAGCCCTCTTGCTCCTTTGGGACCATACACACCCTGCTAATAGTTATAGTAACAGCTTCCAATTCAGAAAGTCTGGGAAGTCATGGGAGATACAGGGCACAGGGGCCTTCCTAGCTTAGTGTCACCTTCTCTGAAAGCCAAGTGATGGCTTGGGACAAGACCCACTATGGTTACACACTGACTTCCAGACCTAGATAGTGTGACCAGCTGTGGGCATGACCAGTCTAGTGAGAATGTAAACTGATGTCATTATCACAGATTCTTGCACTGATGGACTTGGTGTCAACACACTTTATATCTAGAGTTCATCATTCCAGGACACACAAATCTAGAAGTTCCTCACTCTCCTGTGGGAGCTGATGAGAAGCGGAAAGAATGACATTTTGTTTTCTCAAAGAAAGTATCCCAAGCATAAACAGTGACTTCTGTGTGCTCAGAAGAAAAAAAGTACTGTTTACACTTTATTTTTGATGTAAATAAGCCATATTTACATAATACATTCATATTTTTAAATATGTTACAGTTCTGTAGAAAACCATTCCATTAAAACAGCAACATGTGATCGGGATTCAATCTTTAAAGTATTAGTCAAATTAAAATATTCTTATCAGGACTCCAATTTAATTTCACAGCCTCTGAAGGGAAATGGGAATGAAGAGTGGGTGATGGAAAGTGAACAACAGACCTCTCCCACATCGGCAAGCTTTCCGATTCCTCTCCCTGACACTCGTGCAGCTGGCTTCATTGACAGGGAGAGAGCGCCAGGCACCAGTCTCCACTCTCCCAGCTCTGGCTTGAGCCTGGGGTAGGGAGAATCACCCTACCACCCCTACTGGGACCCCCGAGGCTGAAGATTAAGTATTCCTCTTTTCCACCACTTCAACTGGTCAGCAGCTGCTCAAGATCAACTTAGCAGTGTTCTCATTCTGAGAAAAAGCCAGAGTTGAACTAATGGGCAAATTGAAACCACAATACAAGTTAAAATGGCCTGGCTCCTTGGATCTGGTTGGCAACTTTCTCATCTGGGGGCTCCTCTTTCTCCTTTTCCCGCTCTTTGTTCCAGTCCTTAAGGCCCTCTGGAAGCGAAGTGTCCTCATCCAAGCTGCCAGTGCCTTCCACAAATTCTTCATAGGTAGATTTTTCTGCAAATGGTCTGGGGCCCAAAAGTTCAATCATATCATTCTTATCTAATACTTCTTTTTCTAATAATAGAAGAGCAACCTGAAACATGAACAATTCCAATTAAACAGTTACTCAGCAAAGTCTAGTTAAAGTTAAATGTTTTTATTTATAGCCAACCCCATCCCCCAAAAAGGTTTAAGACCACTGAAAAAGATATATATAAAAGGTCACATAACTTTGCAGTAACGTGCAAAATACTGGCAAAACAAATGTCCATCAGTAAGGGAGTGGCTAAATACATTTGTTACATTCACACAATGAACGATTATGTGCCTGCAATAAAGTATCTCTCTCATCTATGTACATCTCGGAGGGACATATTCAATGAGAAAAGTGAATGTAACAAAAATGTCTATAGAACGCTATGTTCTCTTTCTAAAGGAAAGAAAAATACATTTCTTTATGTGTACATATATAAAGAAATTCTAGAAGGATACGTAAGAAAGTGGTTGGGGGATAAGTTGGAAAGAACAGAAATAGGATGGGCAGGAAAATTTTAAAGTTAGTAAAATATAATCATGACAAACAAGGGCAAATACATAAAATGAAGCCAGGAAGATTAATATAAAAATTTGTATCTTAAAGATCTATTCATTTGTATGGCAGAACCACAAACTTGACACTACACATTTTAACAGGCCACTGAAAAGGGGATACCTGGCCAAGCACGTGTACGGATGTGAGTGACACCATCAGGAATGCAGGGGAGAGTAGTTATATCAGAGCATCTGACTACCATAAAGATAACGAAGTACTCCTCTGATCTCATAAAATAGATTTAGTAGGTAACTCCCTACTTAGAAATTTAACATGTCTGTAGTTTACATTAAATACTATGTTTTTAAAAATACCATATGAAAATTTTCTGTCTATTCAATCTTTAAAAACTTTATTATAGAATATTTCAAATACATATAAAAGTAGAAAAAATGGATAACTAATCCCCACATAATCATTATCAATAATTATCAACTTAGAGCCACTTTTGTTTCATCTACTCCCTGGATTATTTTGAAGAAAATTCCAGATGTATCATTTTATCCATATATTTTTGTCTACATCACTGAGAGATAAAGACTTTAAAAAAACATAACCAGAATACTAAAACAATATGACTTTTTAACATATTGTTTGTATATGTAAGATTTGGAGAAATAAAAACTTTAGGATTTATTCTTAGACCATCTTTAAATCTCATTTGCTTATTTACAGAACTGTGGGTAATCACTTAAGTTACAATATATTTTAACCCAATATGTCAAAAATATTATCATTTCAACACGTAATATTAAGAATTATTGATATATTTTACATTCTTTTTTTCATACTAAATCTTAAAAATCCAGTGTGCGTTTTATGCTCACAGTACATCTCAATCCAGACTAGCCAAGCTGACACCACAGGCTTGGTTAGAAGTTAATAGCAAGAATTCTGCAGACAGGATGTCTGGGTCCAAATCTTGGTCCTACCTCTTACCAACTAACTGCATGATGACGCCTTAAGCAAAGTCAAGCAACAGTGTTTCTTTATGTATTAGTTTCATCTGTAAAATGGGGGTAATAATGTAGTGACTTCTTGAAGTTGCAGGGGACTTTAGAGAAGTTAATACGTCTCAGGCAGTACCTGCTACACATAAGCTATTAAGTGAATGCCAGCTGCTTATTCTTATTCTCCTAAAGCTCAGCCCTCAGAGACCAACTTGTCCAACTCCCCATCCCATACATGAGTAAAGTGAGGCCCAGAGTTTGGAAAGCACTAGTCTTAGCAGCAAAGTGACCTCTCTTCTTGAGGTTCCCTATCTCCTGGCTGGCTCGACATTATTCTTAACAGATTTTATTTTCTCTGATGGACCAGGCAAAACTTTAGAACTCTGCAGTGTTTCAAGATCCTCACCCTGTCGAACCAATTTTCCCTTCACAAACACTTCTTTGTTACCATTGTCAGCACACGTACTTTACATATGGAAAAGTAGATGACTGAGTGAAATTCCCTGGACCCATCTGAGCATCTGTGGTGGGCATGTGGAAGCCCTGTACTCATACTCTATCCTCCTAGAACTATTCATCTCAGGCAAGCCTTTCCGCCCTTTTACAGCTCCTTTCCTTCTTTTTTAACAACTGGCTGTAGGGGCATAACCCAAATATCCTATGTCTGGCCTGGAGATCCTATGCATATTCCATTTGCAAATGCCTACTGCTTATGTCCTCTTTGTCAAGACCAAATTTCACCCCCATCCCTCAGTCTCTCCCCACCCTGCCCCAGGCTGTTTCATCTACTCCCTGGATTAGATACCGCCTCTAGGAGGCATCCTGGAGTCATTCTGAGGGCTTTCCTCCCATTCATTCTCTACTTAATAAATCTTAAGTTGCATCAGTAACTCTTGGTTTTTTAGATCTGCCACCACCAGCACCATCTCACAAATGTTAACACATGCCTGCAACAGCCCTGAGCTTATCTCTGTCACCCCACTGGAGCTGGCACATGGCTGCTACATTTCCTTTTAAATGATGAAATTTAATCATTTCCACTCAAGATTCTTTAAGGACTCTGACTCTCTACCATAAAACAAGGGGTTGAATTAGACCATTATGAAAGTCACTTCTATTCCTAAAATTGTTTCTAAATTTTCTACCTAGCTTTTGACCTGGGTACTGCAGCCCATTATCTACTCCAGGCAGGCTGGCTCAGTCCTGCCCTCTCCCCTACTCCTTTCTCTGCTTGCCACGTCTCCAGACTGAGAGCACCTCCTCTCCCTTCCTTTCCCATTCACTGTAACCTGACTAGGCTTCAAGGTAAAATTTAAGCCCTATCTTCTATATGAAGCCTTCTTTGACTACTCTGATCTTTCCTTTCTCAGAGCTCCTGCTGCATGTTTTCTAGTGTTTCACAGACACCACAGACATTCTATACTTTTATGAAAAGATGTCACAGATTTTTAGAGTTCCATCGCACAGGGCAGGCTCACAGGAAGCTTCTCCGAAGATCTGCTGATGAATAGCCTACCTTAGAATATTCCTTTATCTGTGTCAATTCTTTATAAGGCTTTTCATTTGTGTTTTTCTCATTAGAGTGTGAAATGCTCAAAGAACAAAAAATTCCAATTCTGGCTGCATGGATTCTGAATACTTAAGTTTGCTGGATATAAGAAATCCACTGAATTCAGAAAGGATCTTTCCCTTTTGTAGGTGCTATCAAATGAGGCACAACATTGAAAAACACAAAGCAAGTTAATTCATGGATGCTCATAATTAAGCAAATGTAGTTTTCATGTGGTGACTTCCTGCTTACCAAGTTTGGCTAATTCTTTTATGTGCCCTTTCATCTGTCACCACCTGTTTATTCCAAAGATAAAAAACAATAGTAAATGTCTATCAGTTCACTATGCTCCAAATTGAGGAGTATAGCAGGGCCTTCAATAATGTAGTTTTGTTATAATGTTGATGAGAGGCCATAGGACCTTGTTTATGTCAATTAGCTTAGAGTAAAATTGGTTTCTTTATATGTCATTCGCTTAGTTGCAGAAACTATTGACAACATTAAGTGAGGATTTACTGTACTGGTAAAATACTTGGTGAGGAAGAGTACAGATTTGATTATTTGGTGGTTGTTAATAGACTTCATTAATTCCTCATTCATATCCCTAAGAGCCACAAGAGCCAGGATCATGCCTGCTTTTGCTCACCACATTCCCACCACTTCACAAAGATAGGGCAGACAGAAATATCAGAATGAAGGAAGGAACCCAAGAGTTTGCCAGATATAGGGAATGCTGACATCTATAAGCCAATCAAAAGTTAATCATCACTTTAATCTTTCTCTACAAAACTGCAGAATTATTTGTACAACTGGCACCTACCTTCTCCACATCAGCTTTTTTTTCTGTGAGAAGAGCTACTGTTCTTTTATAAGCATCATTAATAAGTATTCGTACTTCATCATCTATCAATCTTGCGGTGGCTTCACTATAAGGTTTCTCTAATACCATGTCACCCTGACGTGGGAGGTCAAAGGAGATTTGCCCAACTTTTTCATTCATGCCAAACTGAACAATCTGAAAAAGAATACATGATCAGTGGGAGACATCCATTTGTGCTGACAGGCTAACGTATTTTTATAAACTGCCAATTAGTCTTTCTTTATAATGACATTAACTCTCCACACTTCACTACAATACTACTCTTCAACCTGGCAAAATCTACATGGCAACCTTGAGTTGGCTGACTGGATAAGGGTGTTCTGTGTAGATGGTGGCAGCAATGAATAGTGTCTGAAATTCCTCAACTAGGAACATAAGACTAGAAGCCATAGACAACTTCTACAACAAAATCAGGTGAGAAACAAGTGGGGACAAATCTCAACAGCTATGAGACCTGCATGATATCACTCTCTGCACAAGGGCAAGTAGAAGCAATAAGCATCTGAGAGCACCAAGAAAATAAGAACCCTTAAACTCTCCAGGCTCTTCCTACAAAGAGCGCTTTGCCAACCTGAGAACAAGTGAACCTGGAAGGGGCATTTGTACTTCCCTATTCCCCGAGTCCAGGGGGCCAGGAGACTATGCGAGGAGGCTGGCTCGTTCTGGGCCATGAGCTCCCAAAACTAACCAGAATAAGCCCCACAGTAAGAGGAAATTTCTGGAAGTAAAATCCAAACTGAGTGGAAAAGAGAAGGCCCAGATAAAAGTGGGGAGCAGGAACAAAGCCAGGAGAACTCAGAAAGTAGGAAGCACATTTTTAAAAACTTCGTGAAAATAACAGAAAAGGGAATTCAAAAGCTATAAAACTAGGAAAGCTCCTAAGAAGTCAGGAAAACAAATTTCATGTAAAAAATAGGCAAAAGAAAAATCTTTTATGAAGTTATAAGAAAAAAGGAGAATAATGTCTCCACAGATAAAGCCGATGGGAAGACATGTCCATAGAACAGATGAAAACTACAACGTACTACTTCAAAATAGACTAAATCAGGAAAATCACAGAAAATATGACGGAATAACAAATCAAAATCAGAAAAACTCAGATGAGGTGCTAGAATAGAGGAAACATATAAAAAATATTTTAAAAACAAAGATTAATCTAAAAAGAAGAGCAAACAACAACAAATAATGCCCTTAAAAATAGAAGGTAAAGAAAACAATAAAAAATATATGTATTTTAAATGAGTAATTAAAAAGGACTAAGAAAGTCATAGACCCCGAAGAGCTAACATGAATAACAGGAATACTCAAATAAAATCATTTCTTTTCATAAGTTTTGACTACTTAAAAAAGGATTTAAGAAATAATCCTTGCCTGAAAGTCTAAACCACTCAAATCTAACAGTATTGTTTCAGTGACATTCATGAATGATCATTTCTCATGCAAATGTGAGAAGATGAGGAAGAAGCACTCTAATTCATACTTACTTGGGCATATGCGCTCTGAGTCACTTTTCTCAAGTCATCCTGAGCACCAGTTGTAATTCTTCCAAAGAAGATTTCTTCTGACACCCGGCCCCCCAGAGTCATGCACATCCTATCCAAGAGCTGCTCTTTGGTGTACAGGTATTGTTCCTTGGGTAAATACTGAGCATAACCCAGTCCTTTGCCCCTTGGGATGATAGACACCTGGCAAGCAAAAAACATACAAACTGTTGGAGATTCTACCACCAAATATAGACTTGATCACTTTTTTTTTTTTTAACAGCTAAACTCACTGATAAAAAATAAACACACCAGCTGAGCAATCCATCAGCCTTGGCTACATGAGATCTAGCAGGAGTGACTGTTCTGGAGGAATATTTACTCTGAGGAGCAATAACTTCACATTAAGAGTTCTAGAAAGTATTGTCTTTTTATAAAACTCAATTGAAACTATTCAGTTTTGACAAAAGACTGCTGGCGAGTGAGCTTGAATACAGTGCAGACTAGATTCAACTTGACTGTCATCTACAATCACGGGCACGGCTGAAGGGGTAAGGCAGACCATGATGTTCAGCAGCCTTCGTTTTCTTTTCTAGACCTCTTTTTGCAATTGAGTAAATTCTTTTAATTCTTAGAAAAAAAAGTCCGCTTTATTGTGAGATGATTTATATATAAAAAATGCAGCCATTTAAAGTGTACAGTTCAATAAGTTTTGACAAACATAACCTCCTACCACAATGAAGATCCAACATACTCTCTTCATCTCCTAAAAGTTCCCTTTTGTCTCTTTGTAGTCAACCTCGCCCCCACCCTCAGGCAACTGCAGATCTCCTTTCAGTCTCTGTGGATTAGTTACAATTTCTAGAATTGCATGTAAACGGAATTATATAGTATGTACTTTATTATGTCCAGTTTCTCTGTTTCTGAGATTTACTCCGATTGTGTGTATTAACAGTTCATTCATTTTTACTGCTGTGCAGCACTCCACTGTATAAACATACCACATAACCATTTCATCCCAGAGAGACATCAGGGTTGTTTCCAGTTTGTCACTATAATTAATAAAGTAGGAAGAGTCATTGTTTCCATTTCTCTTAGGTAAATATCTAGGTGTGGGATCTTTTGGTCACATGGTAGCATTTCTCTTTATAAGAAACTGCCACACTGTTTCCCAAAATGGTTGCATCATTTCACATTTCCATCAGTAATGTGTGAGGGTTCCAGCTGCTCCACATCCTTACCAACACTTAGGACTGGCTTTTAAATTTTAACCATTCACTATTTTCTTATGACTTAATTTGCATTTCCCTGGTGACTAATAATATTGAAATTTTCATGTGCTTAATGTCTATTCATATACCAACTTTTGTGAAAAATATATTCACATCTTTTGCCCAGTTTACGGGTTATCACTGGGTTGCTTGTTTTCTTATTATTGAGTTTTAAGAGTTCTTTATATGTTCTAGATACAAGTCCTTTTTCACATATGTGTACTGCAAGTATTTTCAGAGTGTATGGCTTGCCTTTCATCTTAGTGATGTCTTTCGAAGACAAAAAGTTTTTAATTCTGATGAGATCCCATTTATCAACTGCTTTTGTGTCCTAAGAAATTTCTGGCTACCCAAAGTTATAAAGACTTTTTCTAGGTTTTCTTCTAGAAGTTTTATAGTTGTAGCTTTTATGACCTACTCCGAATTATTTATTTTGCAGAGGCTACGAGTGCTGGGAGCTCCAGTAGCGCAATCGGTTAGTGCGCAGTACTTACATGATATGAGAGTTGATGTTTACTTTTTTTCATATAAACAATGAGTTGCCAGAACCAGTTATTGGTAAGATAATCCTCCTCACCTTGACTTACCTTGGTATCTCTGTTGAAAATCAATTAACCAATTATATTAAGGTCTATTTCTAGACTCTATTCCATCTCACCAGATCTATGTGTCAGTCCTTTCACTAATACTAGTCTTCATTACTGTAGCTGTATATGAAATCTTAAAATCAGTTAGTGTAATCCTTTTAACTTAATTGTTTTGGCTATTCTAATTGATATTGGATTTCCATACAAATTTTAGAGCATCATGTAAATTTCCATAAAAAAGTCTGTTATAATGATGATAGATTGCATTGAAACTACAGATCAATTTGGAGAGAGCTGACATCATAACATTCCATGAACAGGTGTACCTCTACTTTTATTTAGGTCTTGTTTAAGTCAATGTACAGATCCTACAAATATTTTGATAAATTTATCTCTATGTATTTCATGTATTTGGATGCTGTTGTAAATGAAATTGAATTTTAAAATTTCATCTTCCAATTGTTCACTGCGAATATACAGAAATACAATTGGTCTTTGTATATGGACTTTGATTTCTGCAACCTTGCTAACTGCACTTACTAGGTCTAGTGGCTTCTTTTTAGATTATTTAGGATGTTTTATGTATACTTTAATGTTATTTTCTCTGTGGTCCCTTTTCTTCAGGAAATTCGTATCAATTTCCAGCTGACTCAACACTGCAAGTTAGTTAGGCTGCTTCCTGTCATTCATGCTGTATTTTTTAACATGCAGTTGAAAAAGCAGAAAATTTAACAATCTCACCCTCTGTCTCTTTGCTCTCTGCTCAGGCTCTCTGAGGTTTCCCTGGGTAGACATAATTTAGTGGTCAACCAAAGATTTGGGCAGTTTCTACTTAGATTTGGGTCTTGCCCCTCTGTAGCTTTCTTGCTTCCAGGATTTTCCTGTCAAATTTTCAGTATTCTTCAAATCCTAAACTTTCTTCTCTGTCTCCTCAATATGGTAAGGCCAGCATTTTTCACCACTCGCTGTGGAAAACTCTTAAGCAATAAAGCCAGAAGCACCCAATTCTAACTCATGGTACCTACTGCTTTTCGAGAGTAAACTCTCCTCCGGCCTTGGTCTGCTTTTGAAAACTTTTCAGTCCCTTTTAATTGTAGTTTTCTTTCCAAAACTTCATAACTTATCTGTGGGAATGTTTGTATAACCACTTTATCCCACTATTATTACCAGATATTTTTGCTAAATTTCTTTAAATTTAAACATCTCATCTATTTATCCTTAAATTTAAACATCTCATCTATTTATCCTTTATGGCAATGCAGTTTCCTCAAGCTATTTCTCACACAATCATTTGGCTTGCCTGCTGTTCAACATAAACTGCTTTACCTTTAAAAGTGGGTCTGCATGCTCCAGATACCAACCGGCGACCGCGTGACCTGCCTCGTGGTATGCCACAGTTTTCTTCTCCTCTGGCTGCAGAACCTGGGTTTTTTTCTCTAAGCCTGACAAAATAAAAACAGAAAACCAAAACCACTGCTTTAGTGAAAATGACATAAAAAGACAGTAATACAATACTGCCTCATCCAAAAGGTGATTTAGAGATTAAGATGCTTCCAATTATCCAAAAATTACCAATCAAGGTAACAATAAAAGCAAAAAATCAACTTCAAAATACGCCCAGCTAAAGCAAAAACACAGTTACTATCCTTACATCCAGGCCCATTTTCCTCCTAACTCTCCCACTCTTTTGAGTCACATATTGTTTGGGGAAATAATCAGAAATGCAAAATAAAATTCAGCACTTAGGTCAACTTAAAACATATGCAATTCATAGAAAACAAAGAAGTCTGGAAAGAACTCACTGCTCAGTCTAAATATTCAGAATTATCAAGCACTGGGTAAACAAAGATGTTTGCCATGAGACACTGCCTGTTTTCCATTCCTGATGGAAGGAAAACGATAGTAGGACTGAGCTAAATATCTGAAAATACTGACTCAGTCAAGCCAATGCTGCAGCACCCAGCACACTCATCAAACAGCCCAAGGGGTTCCAACAGCCAGACAAAGCAACAGAAGGGTAGATCAGAGACGATTAAGATGTACTGGGCTCATGTGTCAACTACAGAACTGAAGGACACCTAATTCAAGTGTGATTCTTCTCTGGCTTGGATAAACGTGGGTGCTGAACCTTGTATGCACCTTCGTAATGTAGAAACCAACCACACAGTCTGTACTAATACAAACCATCACACCATGACAAAAGTAGTTTTGCTGTGTTCAACATAACTCACCTGAAAGAATTTCTCAAGTGAAAACATAAAAGAGTCTAGAAGATTTAAAAAGAGCACTATGTTCCCAGTGATACAGTGTAAGACAAGTGTATACCATAGGTGGGAAGTATATCCCAGGATAGGAAATTGTAGTGTGTATAAACAAGCCTTTGGAAAAGCTTTGTTTTCCAAAAATAAACAGTTCTTACTTACCTGAGAAAACAAGACTTTTAAAAATTTCCCCATAGTTTATCACAGGAATTTTTCACTTTCTGTATATAATTACGGAACAAGGGTTGCCCATGGCTGAGCTGTGAACAGGTAAACACCCACTCACTTCAGAGTACTCTATCCGCCACCCTGTTCTTTCACACTCACTTTGTTCTAAGCACTCATAGCTTCCCCCCGACCTAAAAAGCCACAAATATGCAGTTTACACATCTCTATAGTGATTTATTTTGTTTAATTCTACCTACAACTCTACCACCTTGGGTCTCCTTTGGGTCTCTACCTCCTGGATGTTCTTTAACAAATGTCTAGAATAAATGGTCTATTCATTCATTCAATAGTTATTTAGCGCCTAACCCAGGCTGAGCACACTGCTGTTCTAGCTCTAGATCCTCACTGGAATCTCCATTAATCTGGCTTTGTACTCTCTAATCAACTGAAACTATCATGTCAAAAGTCACCAAGAACAGTCTCACTGCCCAACCAAAAGGTCATTCTCCCCACATCACTTGATCCTGCTGACAACTCTTCCTGTATAAACATGCTCTCGCTCTTGTCTCCCTTCTCCTCTTAAAACCTCCTGGGTCTCCTTTAATGGCACGTCTTCCTGGTCTTAAATGCTGATGCACCTTTTGGGCCTGTAGCACATAAGCAGCTTTAGTGACTTTGCTGACTTTCCTCTTCTCTGCTACCAAATATAAACATTTGGCAATGCTCACTTTGTGGGGCCCTGCTCCTTCCACCAGGCACCTGCTCCCTGAGCCCTCTCATGCACCACAGGAACCAAAGCCTATGCTTCTGCAGTGCGCCAGAGTTCCATGCAGACACCTACAATCTCAAATTCAGCACATCTCATTTTCTAACAAACCAGACACCTCAGAGCACCCCATTCTTCTTGCAAGTTTTCTGGCTGTCCTTTTTTCTGCTTGCTCTCTCCCGTGAATGACTACAAGGTTCCTTGCCTCCAGATGCTTCCCTCTTCTTTGGTCAGACTCATTTGCCTAAACAATAACTTACTGCATTACTTAGTGGCTCAGGAGAAAACCCACATTAGTTCAATAGTGGCTATAGGATACTTAAAAAGTCCTTGAGCTTAACATTCAAGGCTTTCTAAAATCTAGACTAAAATACCTTTTTCCAACTTTGCCTTATTTCCCACAGGAACTTGAGCCTGACCAGTTTACTTTCCCTCCATGAAACACAGGGTGTAACACTGCCATCACCAAACCACCTTCTGTTCATGCTACTTTCACACAGTATTCCATTTATCTATTAATCCAGTTTAAATCCTCTTCTGTGCAGACTTTCTAAAAGCAGTCTTTTCCCTCTTTTGAATGCCCAAGTTCTCGAATTGCTAGTTTCCTTTTTATGAGTATCAAGCTGAAAACTCTCTAGAAAGCAAGGAAAACACTGTGCTGGTGTGGTGAGCATTTCCTGGTTAAAGAGTCATTGCAATTGTTTATCTATCACCTATATCTAGTGCAGAGCACATTTAACTCATGTGATAGAATTTTTGGAAACAGGAAGGTTGTGAGCATTCACAAGAAAACTGGATTGGTGTAATTCAAGGGAAGGCTGCTCGCTGCTCGCTGCCTGTGTGAGAAAGGCAGTGCATGGCCTGCTATCTCAGACTCACCCAGCACCTACACCATCATTGTCATGCAGGCCGCATAGGAGGACAGGAAGCTCACAGCACCAAAGGAAGATAGCAGGTACATGGTGAGCCCCAAGGCTGGGAAAATATATACTTTTGCTTCTAGATCTAGCCGAAACAGAGAAATCCCTGGCCTCAAATTCATTTCATCAGCCTTCTGACTTAAGTTACATTCAGTTGCCTTACCACCAATCACTCGTTCAATTGCTTGTTCAAAGTGTTTCTGGTTTATGGAATCTGAAAGGTGTCTTGCAGCAATCAAAGCAGCTTCATTACAGACATTGGCCACATCAGCTCCTACAAAATAAACATACAGAACAGCATACCCACCAAATATGTATAATCAAACTGATTAGTCACATGTTATGGACAACCAAATCCATAGTCAATTTCTCAACCAGCAGAACTAGATAAGAGTTTTATGTAAATATAATTTAGTGTGATTCATAATAACCCTGAGGTATTCCAGCATTCGATAACAGCCTGGTACAATCCTGGCCCTTAAACTGAGATGCAAGTATTCGTAGTAAATAGATAATTATAGGCCAATATTTATCTTTACAGATAATATGCTCATATAACAGCAAATTAAGATTGTATTTAAAAATTCCCATTAACTTAGTTCCACCTCTGCTTGGAATGTGATTTATGTGGATATTATACAATATGCTAAAATATAATGAAAAACAAACATTAAAATAACCTAGTACATTCAGTTAAACAATACAAGTAAAATATGAAACGTGCCAAATGCTTTCTAGATCTATAAGGCTCTTTGAATTCACTTTTCAGACAGAGTATACGGTAATGCAATATATGTACTCATTAAATAAATATTAAAACGTTATAAAGTTCAAAGACAAAAACAAATAAAAAGTAAAAGTAAAAACGACCCCTGGGATGTTTAAGATGCCAACCTTCCTCTGACCATACTGTATATAATCTCATACTTTTCAAATGTTCCTTTTTATTTCATTTTAAGTTTAGAAGAGGGAGATAGGGAACAGCAAGAAATGATCACATTTTACATTTAAAAACTCTTGGAATAAGCACCTTAAAGGATGCTCAACATCACTGGTCATTAGAGAAGTAAAAATGAAAACCCTGAGACACCAGTTCACATACACTAGTATGGCTATAGTCAAAAAGGCAGACAATAACAAGCATTGGCCAAGATGTGAAGAAACTGAAACCCTCATACACTGCTCATGGGAATGTAAAATGGTGCAGCCACTGTGGAAAACAATTTGGTAGTTTCTCAAAAAAGTGATTCAGCAATTCCACTCCTAAGTATATAACCAAGAGAAATGGAAACATAAGACCACACAAAAATCCGTACAAGAATGTTAACAGCAGCAATTCGCAATAACCAAATGACAGAAACAACACAAATGTTCATTAAATGAAGAATGGATAAATAAAATGTGGTATATCTATACAATGCACTATAACACGGCCATAAAAAAAGGAAGTTCTGACACATGCTACAACATGGAGGAACTCTGAAAAAAATCAGGCTATATAAAAAAAGCCAGGCACAAAAGACCACATGTTATATAACTTCATCTATATGGAAGTCCAGAATAGGAAAATCTAGAGACAGAAAGTAGATTATGGGTTGCCTAGGGCTAGGAGTAAAGGGAGTGACCGCTAATGGGTTCTTTTGAGGTGATGAAAATGTTTTTAAATTATAGTGATTGGCTGCATAACTCTGTATTTAGTAAATATACTAAAATCTATTGTATACTTCACACACAGGTAAATTTTATGGTATGTTATTTTAATAGAGTTGTTTTTTAAAAACCCAGATAATTTCTGTAACATTTATGGATAAAATGATCTGCTGTTAAGAAATTTGTCGCAAATTATCCAGAGACAGAAGAGGGTGAGCGTATAGGTAGGGTTGGACATGACGTATGAGCTGTCCCTAAAGCTAGGTGATATGTGCGGAGGGTTCTTTACACTATTTTCTCAATTTCTGTTTTACATTTGAAATTTCCCATAATAAAAAGTAAACTATATACTTAAGAAGCCCCAAGGTGAGAGGTAACAACAAAGTGAACTGATATCTGCTAATTGTCATTGATTTAAAGGACTTATAAACAGAACAGCAGGTTACATTGCACTCACCCGAAAACCCCGGAGTTAAGGATGCAAGTTTTCTTGCCAGTTTCTCCTTTTCCAAGGCACTGTCCAGTTTCAGTGGTCTGAGGTGAACTTTGAAAATAGAGGCTCTTCCTTTTATGTCCGGTGGTCCTTGAGAAATTATTTTTAAGGTAAAAAAAAATAATGAAACAGTGATATCCTCATGAAAACTGGACTGAACCCTGTGAAAATCATCTTACCAATAAAGATTTGCCTATCAAAGCGGCCTGGCCTCATCAGTGCAGGGTCTAGGATATCTGGTCGATTGGTGCCTGCCAAAATGACTACATTCGTTGTTGTGTTAAAACCTAAAAAATAATAACAAAGATGCAACCATTATTAAATAACATGGGGCAGAAAATAAGTGTGCCTGTTAAGAATGTATGAATACTATAGATATACTGCTGCTTAAAAATTTTTTTTGCTTTCCATGCTGATAGGGCTGTTGCAAACATAGTGAACATTCCTAAAACCCACCGGGCTTTCTGTAAGAAGTGTGGCAAGGATCCTCTGTATGTGCAGGGAAAGTGGTGTTATGACAGGAAGCAGAGTAGTTATGGTGGGCAGACTAAGCCATAAAAAAGTTAAAAATACAAAGAAAATTGTCCTGAGGCTTGAATGTGCTGAGCTCAAATGCATATCTAAGAGAATACTGACTATTAAGAGATAGAAGCATTTTTAACTGAGAAAAGATAAGAAGAGAAAGGGCCAAGTAATCCAGTTCTAAGCTTCATATTTTGTTTTATTATAAAGATAATAAAATCTTGAGGATATGTTCACTTCAAAAATTTTTTCAATTATCTAATGCTTTTTAAGTCACAAACATAAATGATTTTTCATATTATTCATCTTATCCTTAATGTTAATATTAATCATATACAACTTAAAATTTTAAGAACCAATTTTCTAAAGATGAATTACCAAAAGATTTTAATTTTTAATTAGAAAATTAGATTATGTTGTCAATTTTAAAAATGTTTTAAAATCAGTAAGATTAAATTTGCAATTTGCAAATGATGTGTTTAAACTCCCTGGGCCATGTACAACCATTTGCATATTTAAAGACAGGTATCAACCTCCACCTCCAACCTCTTCTCCAGGCTCAACTTGTTCGGTTTTATTGGCCATTCTCAAATGTCAAGGCCATGGCCCACTGAGCCTTCACCCTCAGAACCCTGGCATTAAAAGAGTTCAGGTGCTGATTTTTCCCAAATATGGTTCTCAGATTTAAACATGTGGAACTACACCTGGACTGATGACTGCAGAGTGGAGGAGGAGCTATAATTTCTGATTTTGGATACTATATCCACTCAGTAATGTAAACCACTCAATACTTGGCACTGTGCCTCCCCTTTCTGAGCATCAGATAGCATCCACATATCTTACAGCAGGAAGGACGTGACACATCCTAACAATTGGCTTTCCAAAAAATAAAAAAAAAATGCTGACTAATGTGGAAAGACTGATATTCTTTTAGTAAGAGTATTCAAAATCTGCCAAATTCACACTTGGTTACACATGGGTTTTCATGATGCTTCAGAATCATAAATAGTTGTGAGATGAGACTGTAATTCTTTCATGAATCATTTCACCAATTTTTCTCTCATTCAACACCAGGTACAGATACCATCTTAACACCAATACTAAGTTATGGCAGTCAAGAATATTTTGCTATTATCTGTACTGGTATAAAGAGCCTTTAAAAGGGCTGTTTGTTTTAGAAAATGCCCTTTTTTATTTTTTTGGTATTTAATATCAATATAAGGATTCTTCTTTTAGATATAATATGTAAAATAATTAGTGTTTAAAATACAAAAGACTTGAATATTCACCATCCATTTCCACAAGCAACTGATTGAGTGTATTCTCCTGCTCACTCTGGCCCCCAAAGTTGCCTCTTCCTCTCTTCCTTCCCACGGCATCTATTTCATCAATGAAGAGAATGCAAGGGGCATTCTTCCGAGCAAGGGCAAATAAGTCTCGGACCTAGATAAAAATATAAAGGGCAAATAAGTCTCGGACTCGAGTCACTTAACAAGTGAATATTATTTATCCTCCTAATAAAAAATAAAGATCAAGTCTCTTTTCCCACAGGAAGACAATCTTTTTGTGTTAAACACTTTATGGTATATATATTAAAAGTTACAAGTAGCAAAGAAGTGGCAAGTGATGAGTAACTTGGCAGGTAATTGATTTAAAGTGAACAAATAAAATCTATAATCTCATAAATTATTGTATATGTAATAAGTACTAACAATACCTTCAATTTTTATAACATCAACAAATTAATACAACATAATTTTGGCCTACAAAAAGATAACATAGTTGTGCTGTAAACTTTATATTCCATTTAAAAGTTCATACTACTCCGGTTCACATTTTGTGCCTGAGGCAGTTATTAACAAGCAGAGACTTACTAAAAGATCTAGGCAATACACAGAAAGACCTACACAAGTCCACTCAGCGATCACCCCAGCGTGACCAACGGTGCCCTCAGCCCTGCTGCAACAGGAAGCAGCTGTGAGGTCCCTGAACCCATATTCTGTCCCACTCAGCATGTCCCCCCATGTTTAGGCCACTAATTTAGGTGGAAGAAAGAACACCTACCTCTTTGCTTCACCATCAGCTGACAGAGTTCAAGGTCTCACTCTATCACCTGCCCCTACTGAGATTGAGAGACAAACTCCCCATGCCTCATAACCTTTTTACTTCACTCACCAGAAGTCCAAGTCTCCCGTCATCCTCCCCTGCCTTGACTTCTGGGGTTTTCATATCTATACTGCGCTGAGCACATCCCCTAACATAACTCATGTCCCTCTACAGCCTCCTCTCTGAACTCCAGATCTGTGATCAACAGACCCCCACCACCTCAAGCTCCTCCCTGAATACTTCCTTCACCTCCTTGCCCGAAGTGAAATTTGGCTGTCCCTGAAAACTCTCAATTTGAAGGCTTTTTACCTTTCCCTCCAGACCAGGTGGAGTTGGGGTCTACCTCATACCCCCTTACTACTGTCCAAACAATTCTGCTTGAAAAACCCCTACTCATTGAGGCTCCTGCCATGAGGCAGCCATTCTAGCCTTCTCCTCCCCGACAGGCACTATTTGCTTAGTGTCTTCCACATCTGTACAGATCTTGGTATCTCAGTTGCCTGACCCACCTCTTCAATGACCTTTTGCTACACTCTGACATGACCACCACTGCCAAGGTTCCTCTAAAACAACCAGCCTCAAGCAGCCTACTCTGACCGCTCGCCCTCTAGCCAGTCTGGCCTGCCCACGTACTTAAGCACCTCCCGCAACCAATTCTTCACCTACTTCTGAGCTCTCCAGCCCATTAGGCCCACTGCTTTCTCACAATCTATAGCTTCCCTCGGGTCTTCAATTTCCTCCTTGATTATACTGTAGTGACCCATCACTATAAACACTCAACTCCTCCATGATCACCTATTTTTCTAAGACTTATCTGCCTTACAAAACCGATATGAATCCACCAACTCTACCTATCATAGTTCATCTAATCTAAAATGCTAATAACAAATGGTAAGACCAATCCATCATTACTATACCTGCCACTGAGAAAAAAATGCTGCCAACTGTTAACACTGTTACTAATTGTAGTTGTATTGTTTAAAAATTACAACAGCACTTTGCATTTTACAGTGCTTAAAAAAAAGTCAATATTTTGACATTAGTAAAATATACAAGAGTAAAAATTTAAGTGTTTAAAAATTAATCCACATTCACACTTCCTGATTTCAAAACTTATTGCAAAGCTACAGTAATCAAAACATTGGATTACTGATATAAAGATAGACAGATAGGTCAATAAAGTAGAATTAAGAGTCTAGAAATTTATCTATCTATGCTCAAGGGTGCCAAGACCAAAGGGGAAAGTACAGTCTTCTCAACAAATAGTGCTGGGGAAACTGGATACAGACATGTAAAAGAGTAAAGTTTGACCCCTCTCTCACACCAGATTAACTCAAAATAGATCCTATTAACTTGAAATGGATCACAGATCTAAATAAAAAAGCTAAAACTATAAAACTCTCAGAAGAAAACATAGGAGTAAATACTTATAGCCTTGGACTTGGCAACAGGTTCTTTGTTATGACATTAAAAGTATAAGCAATAAAAGAAAAAAAAGATAGATTGGACTTCATCAAAATTTAAAACTTTTGTGCTTCAGTATCAAGAAAGTGAAAAGACAATCCATGCAAGGGAAGAAAAGATTTTAAGTCAAATATCTGATTAGAAGTTAGTATCTAGAATATATAAAGAATTCTTACAACAATGAAAAGATAACTCAATTAACGGACTGCAATTGCAATCCTGGTCAGGGTGAGGGAAAGTGGGCTAGAAGTCATAGGCCTTGCTGAGGTTTTGCTTTAGAAGAGTGTTCAAGGCAGTGTATGGTAAGAAGTCACTCTATGGGACTCTCGAGTAATGGCCATATTTACCAAATCTCCATTTGGAGGAAACAAGGTAGAAGGAGAAAGCTGTATAATCAGAATAAAACGAAAGACTTACTCTAGCTGGACCCACACCAACAAACATTTCCAAGAACTCAGATCCACTAACGGTGATGAAAGGGACGTTGGCTTCTCCAGCTGTGGCCTTAGCTAGCAGTGTTTTCCCAGTGCCTGGAGGACCAGTAAGAATGGCACCCTTCAGATATAAAGAAAAAGAATATTTAACTATAATTTCAGAAAAGTAATTTGTATATCCATAAATAATTCCTAGGTATAGATCTGTTTATAAATTTTAGTGATACACTCTAAATATTCCTTAAACATTTGAACTATGGTAGAATACTTTTATATTAGTAAGAAGAGTAAGAAAAAGATTATTAGAGCCTATCGTTTTTAAAACTTTGGTAACAATGTGAAATCTTAAATATTTCCCTTATTTGATAAGATTTTGTGTTACTTTTTAACCTAACAGTATATAAAGGATGACTTAAGCTAAGAAACTATTAATAAACCAGTCAAGGTTTACTTAAATAATTCAAGGAGACACAAATATCACATTCACAATGTACATTTTGCTTATTTTTTTCCCTTTAAATTTTCACAAATGAAGTAAAAATCTAATGACCAATGGCGAATTTAAAAAGGAAAAAAATGTGTTTGCTTTACAATATAATTAAATTGTGGAGATGCCTAAGTATGATGTGAACAGGTACTTAACAGCAAATTATAAAATTATATGACTTTTTATCGATATAAGTAGGACATGAAATTAAGGAAATGATGATTTCCTTAACAAAGGATTCCTTTAAAATAAACTTTATTAATAGATTTTTTTAATTATTTAAAATTTTGACTCATTTACTTTATGACTTAAGCCGGCCCTGGCAATACAAAAATCAATAAGGCCGGCCCATCGCCAGCAGTGAGCATAGGGATATCTGCTGGATGGAAGGAAAGTGGGAATTAGTGCTGGCTGTCTCTTCACTGAGTTCTGTGCCATGACTCTCAAGTGCCAGGTCCAGGCAGACGGTCCATTCATACCTGCTGAGGGAGGGACAACTTAGTGATTGCAAGAAGAGATACACTCAAGGCACTACGGCTGCTGAGAGATGGGGTGACTAAATGAGACTGGAGGTAGAAGGAAGGCAAATCAAGAAAGGCTTTCAAGAGAGGAGAACACAAATCTTTTTGGAAATTATATACACTACATGCAAGAAGACACGTTCATACAGAACAAATGACCCAAAAAAGGCTCTTGAGTTAAGCAGAGACCAGTAAGCAGAGACTAGTAAGTTAAGATAGAAGAAGGAGGATAACGGCTACTGTATAATAAGTAATCAAACTTCATAAAATTATAACTTCAGAGATCAAAAAATAATCCAAAAGATTTTTGGGTTAATAAATTGAAAATAATCTTATGAAAGTTAATTTTACCTTTGGGATTTTTGCTCCTAGGTCTTGATACTGCTTTGGGTTTTTTAAGAAGTTTACAAATTCCATTATCTCTAGCTTGGCCTCCTCGCAGCCAGCCACGTCTTTGAACTTCACATCTATCTCATCCTTTAAGACCTTAGCAGTAGTTTCTCCAACACTGAAGAGTCCACCCATCCCCCGTCCTGTTCGACCAATACCAGCAGGCCCTCTTCGTATGGTGTACAGTAAGAAAGCAATGATGAGCACTGTGGGCAACATGCTCAGCAGCAAAGAACTAAAAAGAGAACCACACACAACAGTGACATATTTTTAAGGCTGTTAATCTTTGGTCTTTTTAATGTTTTGCAAGATATACTTTTTGATAATTGGTTGCGACATAATTGCATATTTTCTTTTTTTGTAAAACCTGAATATTCTAATATTTTATCTGAGGCACAAGGAGAATCTCAGTGTGTCAATATCACTCAGGAACAAGCACATAATACCAAAGAAAAAACTATTCTTAACACGTATTGATATTTTGTTCCTATCCCAATAACCACCATTTATGCACAGTATAGACCTAACTGTGATTTACTATCATTATATCTGAGTTTCAAAGAAATTTCTTTAGAATTACTTAAAAATTTTACGATCCTGGTATTAGCCTGGGCAGAAACTCCAGTTCTCTTATTGAAATGCTTCAATTTATTCTGAAGAGATATCTTCCAAATATCAAATCCTTGTAAGTTAACACATATCATTTCAAAAGTCCTGTGTACAATGGCAATGAGTGCTGCACAGGCCACTCCGTGCAGCTTAAGACAGACTTGCAGGGGAACTGGTTTGTCCTCCAACCTCCTGTCTGCTGTAGAGGGACCTGTTGGGGAGTGACTTAAAGCCTGGAAATGCCTTTTGCCTTGTTTAATAAAGTCAATTTCAACCCAACTATGGGCATAGATATGTACTTACATTGGTTAATATAATGCAATTTAGTTTAACTTGCCCTAAGAAATTTAGACCAGACCTTGTACATAGTTTAGGTCAAATACAAAAACTAGGACTTACTGATTTTTCATCTTTTCTAATATTTTAAATTGTGCTATAGTAGGCAGCAAGAACCATGAAAAATTTACCTTTGGTTTATTTCTGGAGGAAAAAAAACATACTGACAATAAAAATGGTGCGATAAAACTTTTGTAATGTTTCAGCATCAGCCTAGAAAGTTAAATAATTATATGACAACCTCAGGGGCCAAGGGATATATCATATGTGAAACAATTTTAATAGCTATTTGGATCTAAATACTTCAGGTAGATTGTAGGTTTACACAAACTAAGACTCAAGAAAGTCCCTAAAACCGAGCAACACTATCAGCTCAATTAACACACTAGTTCTCCGTTGTTCTGCTTTTACAGAAAAATTAAGATTTATTTCTATTTTTACTCTTGAACTAGTAACTCTATAGCAAGGCAGATCTTCTGTATTTAATGCAAATGGAGTAACTCCGGGAGAGCTACCTGGATGTACCGAATAAGCACTCAAAGGAAATATAACTCTCAAGGAGCTCAAAGACAAATGACTTGAAATCAATGGGCCCTTCTTGAAAGACTCAGACTTGTAAATAGCCTGACTGAAGACAAATAACCCTTAAGAGAAGCAGGAGTTCTGACAATAAAGGAAGAATTGCTTAATAATTTTGGAAAACTCTGAAATATAAATGTAAGTGATAGTTAAAAGGTGGAATGCTTCTCTTTGACATAAAAGGCTCTTTATGCTAAAATCCTACTAGAAGACAGTCATTGGATATTAATGTCTCAAACTACTGCTTAATCAAGATAAACACAAATGTGTAGAATATCAGTTACTAGCAAAAACTAGAAAATTGCCAAAGGTTTAAAAAAATCCGGGCACATCAAGAAAGGCCTGTTTGAGAATGCAATGTGTAACCTGCCACCTGGTGACAGAACGGTGAACTGCGTAGAACGCAGTGAACAGTCTTCAACATGTTTATATATTTGCACTGCCTCTTACCCATCACTTTCAGCAATGTAGACAACAGGTACCCGATTCTCCCCTTCTATACCTAATTCGCCCCTTCTATACCTAAGTCCTGCTGTAAAGTTTCCAGATTCCGCTCAAAACACTGCACACTGCCAATATTAAACCAGACGTATTGCTAGAAAAACAGAAAAACAAAATACCCTAAGAATGAAGGGGAGACAAAGAGTTTAATTCATTAAAGGATTCAACTTCTAAAGAATTTTTCAGAAATACTGAAAATTTACAAATTAAAAATTCAACAATAATAAAAGACTGGTTTTAATCATATGGTGATTAAGTTTCACTCAGTGGTTCTAAAATTATAAACTCATAATAATAAAAAAATCTATTTGAAAATACAATCCTTTTCATAAATAAATATGCGTCTTTTACCTATTCTCCATTTCCCAGCTACTTCTTTCCAAATTAAAAGCTAATGTGACATAGTAATAACAGCCAAAGTTTATTGAGCACTTACTGTCAGCAATGTTCTATTCTAAGCCCTTTATATACATTAATTAACTCAATCTTCAGAGTCACCATAAGGAGTAGGTACCATCACCAGGGGTGATAATCAAATCTAAACATTAGGAAAGCACTGTTACCCTGTTATCCTTCTATTCACTTGCTCTGGTGACATACTGAGGCCCTAGGGAGGGACACCTGAAGGGCCTGAGACAATGATTATTTTACTCCCAGCACATAAGTATTTCATATTGTGTCAGTGCTTATCAGCTGAGTATCAGCCCTATTACTGTCCCCATTTCACAGATGAAAAAACCATAGGGGTGACTTCACTTACCCATGATTATACATCTAGTAAGAGTCTGGATCTGAAACCAAGCAGTCTGGCTCTAGATCCAGAGATCATACCCACCATATCATACTACCTCTCTTATGTAATCACAAAAACACTAATCCTAACAACTCACATTTATGGAATTTTACTATATTCTAGACCCTGTTCCAGCACTCTGCATTAGCCACATTTTATAGCACAAAAAGACTTTGTTCTTCCTTTAACATGCAACCACTTTAAAAAATATTTTATTAAACAAAACGGTAAGTCTATGATATAAAATTCAGACAACTGGGAACTATACACAGAAGAGAGCAACATGTCATCCCATATTCCTCCCACCAACCAGTGTTACTGAGTGGGGAATATCACTCTGGTATCTCTCTCCATGTATCTAAAAACAAAAGATGAAGAGTAAGTTTTATAATATAACATTAATTCTTGGTAAGTTGTTCACTGACAAAGCTACAAAATTCCTGTGGCTACAAGCCTCAAAACATATCAACAACAGATTAACTACATGTGATTGGAAATTCCTAAATTAGCACCTACTATAACTGGGCAATATGCTAAATGCATGACTCACATCACAAAATCATGGTGGACCAAGGACCAGCAGCATGGAGATTCTGGGAACAAAGTCTGGAGAAGACCCTCTAGGGATGGGTCCCAGCACTCCAGGTGATTCTTACGCACCCTGAAGTTTGAAAACCACCACTGACTTTCATGATTCTCATTTAAGCACTAAGCCCTAAAACAGTTTTACTGTTGTTCCCATTTTAGAAATAAAGAAACCAAAATTTAGAGGAGTTAGGCAGTACAGCTAATAAAGAGTAGAGGTAATGTGAAGCTGTCTGTCAGATTCCAAAGCCTGTGCTTATAAAGCACAGCACACTAATTAATATCGCTACTTCATAAGTAGTAGGACACTAATATAAAGTCTCAATATAAAGTCTATCAAGCAGGCAATACATGTCCTCTGTTGAAAACTAAGGCTATACAAATATAAAGAAAACAAAAGCATCTACCATGTCAGCAACCAGAGATAAACACTATTAGCAATCTTGATGTCATTCTTTCAAGATTTATATAATACTCACTTTATAATCTTGAAGCACATGCACAATTTTGAAAAGAAATCAATGTAAAACCTTAACTGTAATATAAAGGAGAAATAAAAAGCAAGTAATTTATAATAAAATAGTATGAATTTCAATGTGCAAATGCTTGTGCCTGCCAGTATTAAATGTAAAAACTGCCCTTTGGAAAGAGTACTGTCCAGCGAGAGCCACCACTCCAGCAGGGAGGTTAAAGTTCAAGAGAAATGAGAAGCCCTAACATTAACCAGGAGGCCTAGACATTTATCTATTTCTAATTTTTTGCTCTATAATCAGTGTTTTGGAGAACATCCTTGTATAGTCATCTTTACATGCATCCTTAAGTATTTCTCTAGGATTATTACTGAAGCAAAACTACTTGTGCATGTGTACTTTCAAAACTGATATGTACACTGTCAAACTGTCTTCTTGAAAGGAGTGGCAATTTAATTCCCAGCAATAAAAGTCTGAGGGATAGTTCTAAGAAAAAAAAGTAGCATGGTTATTAATTATTTCACCAGAAGGTGAAGAGAATGGGGGAAAAATAATTAAAATAACTTTCCTAAAAATGACTAAAATAGCCAAGACATATAAACTTCATGAATATTCTTATATTTACTGATGTCACCATCAGCTCTAGTTTTCCTTAAAATGTTGCCCCAACTAATCAAGATGACTAGGAATGGTTAAACAGAACCATTCTCGGAGAGAAGAGAGGCAGCCTGGTAGAGATGTCTGGCCCTGGGGGAAGGTGGTAAGACTGCAGGACACCAAGGGACTAGGGATGGGCCAGGGGTCAGGCCCAGGGGTCAGGCCCAGGGGAGGGCTGGATCTCACCTGGGAACATCACCTGCCCCTCCCCTTCCCTCAGCCCAGTCTGGGGTCTCTGAAATAGAGTTCGAATGGCCAGACAGGAAACAGAAATTATTTTAAAAATAGGAAAAGAGATGGAAATTAAAATAATACAAGATCGCGAAATGGTTGGGAGAGATATGAGGATAATTCTTAAACTGATTTGGAAAAAAACTATCTCAAAACGATTCAGATCTTAATATATATTTCCTAACCAAAAAACTACTTTTTCTTGAAAAATCATAGACAATACTGGAATACTGAAAACTGGGATTTCACTCACTTTCCCAAATGTACAGCCAAAATGATTACCAAAACAAAACCATTGATCCAATCTTCATAGCACAATTATGCACATTCTCACCTATGCTGGTGAAGATTACAAATGCTGCACTGCCCAATTCTGGTATGACCAGAGTGTATACCCACTGCAATGTGAGAGAAATGTTTGCTTTTCAGCTTTAAACCTCAAGTTAGCTTATAGCTAATTCACATCAATTAATAAAATCATTTACCCCATCAACAGGAGTTTTTCCTGGTGTAAAAGTCACTCGAACAAAACGCTTATTGACGACTTCCAGTCTGTCTACCTGGAATTTTAAAAAGTTAAATATTCAACATAAATTTACAGAAAAAAACTTGAGATATACTTTCAAGCTCATTTAAAATGTATGAGATTTCAGATATATAAAGAATAATGAATATAATGACCCATGTTCACCCATCTGGCTTAAGAAATAAAACATCACCAACACTGTTGAAGCTACTAGTCTTGCCCTTTCTCCAGAGGTGGGCCACTATCTGCATTAGGTGCACACAGTCCCAAGCATGTCCTGGCACTTGTGCCATGCACACAAGCAACCCTAAACACACAATCAGTTTTGCCGGGTTTTGAACTTTAAGAATGATCTCATTTGGAATATACTCTTCTACAAAGTTCTTTTTCTTCCTATCATTATATTTATGAGGTTTATCCATGCTGATATGTCAGTTCTGTGGGGTATTCCATTCTATGAGCACATCCTATTCTCTGTTAAAAGACAGACATTTAGGCTGTTTCGAAAGGTTCACCATCACAAACAATGCTGTTATGAACATTCCTGCAAACCTGCTTAGGCACATCTTCAAAACTTTATCTGGGATATGTGCCTGTAGATGGATACAGTGAGGCTGGGCTGCAGGGTATACATATCTTCAATTTTACTGCACAGCGCCAAACTGCTCTCCAATTCACACTCCCCAGCAAAATATTCTAGTGCTCTACATCCTCACTTGCTATTATAGGACTTGTTACTTTTTGCCACTCTATGGGTATAAAATGGTTTAAACTTGTTTTTTCTGTAACCTCCTAACTACATCAGATGCTTAAGAATACTCTTAACCTTATCCCAGGGCTTCTGGCTGATTTGGAGGATGAGCCTTTTGGGAGATGCTTACTTCCTGCTGTCATGAAGTCTGTCTTGGCAGAAAGTCTGGAAAGTATAAGTCAAACTGGAAAGTGAGGGAGCCCCAGATAATTCCAGGAGGAGCTGGAACAGGGAACTAACTGTTCCTAAACAGTCTGTCTGGAAACAAGCAACTAAAGTGCTCCTGCTGGGGCAATGGCAGACTTGTGCCACAAAACCAGCAGGTCAAAAGAAGATGCAGCTATGCAGAACCCTCCCCAAGGGCCTGTCACCACCCTCAGAAAGACAGCTGCAGTCTCCACATACGGATGGGAGGTACTTCTTAGAAAGCAGATTCCCAACATCTGGGAATTATATAATATCGTCACTTTCATGAGAGAAACACTTCAAAAATCTGAGTAGATAATTATTTCCATTTTTTCCATCCTCACCTTACTGTACAATCTTTAAAAGTCATTTTAGATTCTTTATACTATCTTGGTATTAATATTTTATCTATATTTTATACATTTGATTGATGAAAATTCCAGTATGGAGAGGTTAAGTAATTTCCTCAAGTTTATACAGCAAATCCTGGCCCTCTTTCTTATACTTCATCAACTCTAACATGGACATTTTTCATATTTTAACATCTCAGAAACTATGATACATTTGACAACTAACGGTATTTCATAGTTTCACTGGAAGCTTACTATATTTTTCTTGGTAATACACAAAATAATGTATGTCTTACAATCAACATCATCATAAATATGCTGAAATAGGGTCTTACTGGGTAAAGACCTGCCGGCAGTGACAAAGCCTCTTGAGCAGCCCTATGTGGGCCCTCACTTAAAGCCCATTTGGTCTCACTTTAAACATTCTGAGTGACTTGCTCATCCAATTCCAAGCCCACAGGAGATGAAAGCAGTAAAGATGTAAAGGCACTGGGAGAGGCTGGCACACTACAGTGGGGATAAGAGGCTGGCAAGGGCACATGAGAAAATGATGCAAGCAGACAGGTCTGCTAGAGCAAGAGTCAGGAGATGTCATTCCAAAACTAGGTTCTCGTAGAAAGTGAAACAAAAGCATTGTGTGGTAAATCTGGGGACTGTTGGGTCAAAACAAATAGGTTTTTGGTTGCAGTACTTTTTAGCATTAAAAAAAATCCAATAGTAACTTTAAGACAGACCAGCTTGGCTAACCTGTTGATAGTCATTTTATTGGTATAATCTTCCGAATTTCACCTTTTAAACCACAATAGCCAGCAATCCCATAAAATACTTACTACTCCTTTGGAAAGATAGTTATTGACAAAGTCCTTCCACGTGATTTCTCTTCCAGAGCTCTTGAACAGGAAGTAAAACATGACTCCACCCCAAAACAGAGCAGTCCAGAGAAAATACATCCTGAATTCCTTGTCATCCCATGGAAAGTCACCCTGGGCAAAGACAGAGACAACTTCTGTGAAGAATGAAATGTGACAACAGGATCTATGTTATGCTGAACACGAATCACTTCCAATGCCATTAATGTCTCTCATCCTTTCCTGGGGCCACCCCAGAGCCTCCAAATTAACACATAGTTCAGAATCAAACCTTCTGGAACCTGGACCACCAATGAGAATCGTCTTTCTTGCCACCTCGTTTTCCGCCACCGCCAACTCCTCCTCCAGAAGGACGTGGTGTAGCAGCTGACTTCGATTCTGTTCATAAACAAAGAGCATATACAACAGCATAGCAGGTTTTTACATCTCTCAACAATTTTTTCATTAACAGTTAATAAAAGATGCATTGCAAAATATATTACGGTGCAAATCTATTACTAAATAAAGTAGTATGAGGAAAGATGAGACTAATACAAAGAGTTAACGTTCAAGGAGGCTCGCCAGTGCTTTACATATATTATCTCATGAAATCTACACAAAAATCCAATAATCCAATAAGTATACTACTATTCCCATTTTACAGATGAAGAAATTATAGCCTAAGTAACTTGCTGAATAATCTGTTACAGTGTTAAGTGACAGAGTTAGGGTGTGATGCGGTAAGTGAATTTCTGAGTTCCCAAATTGAACGTAAAAAGTTAAGTGCTTCCCTTTCCCACTCCCATAAAGTGAACGCTGTTAACAGTTTCTTCTGTAGGAAAAACGTGGTTTTGATAGCTGGCTAAAAATAAACAAACAAAAAAGAAACCTCACCCACATAAAATTATTTTGCAAGAATCTGAAATCAGTCACTGTTACAGGTTGAACTGTGTCCCTGCCGATTCATATGTTAAAGTCGTAACCCCCAGTGATCTTATTTGGAGAGAGGGTCTATATAGAAATAAGCAAATTAAAATGAGGTCGTGTTGGTGGGTCCTAATCCAATATGATAGGTATTTTATAAAAAAAGGGGAAATCTGGACACAGATATGCATAGAAAAAAGGCATTGTGCAGAGACACGGGGAGAAGACAGCTATCTACAAGCCAAGGAGAAAGGCCTGAAACAGATCCTTCCCTCATGACCCTCAGAAGGAACCAATCCTGCCAGTGACACACTAATCTTGGACTTGCAGCCTCCAGGACTGAGACACATTTTTTGTTGCTTACGACACCTATCTGTGGTACTTTGTAATATGACAGTCCTAGGAACTAATACAGTCATTACCATCTTCCTTTTCTTCCCACTTTTCTATCCTCTCAAAGACCCACAAATGCCATTCTAACATCTTCAACCACTGTGAAACCACCCCCTCTAAGAAGCAGGATGGGAGGCTGCAGCACCCAGTCACCCCTAGTGGCCACATGGCACTGTGGCTTCCTGACACACTCACCCCACCATGAGGCATATAAGGAGCTTGTGCACCCGTCTTAAGTGAGGCAAGGTCTGAGAGAGATACAACCTACCTGCAAGGAGGTACAGGGCTGAGAAACAGAGTAAGCACATTTCTAAAGCTATATGAAAATAGTCCACACTACTCTGGGACAAAGTAACATATACACAAAAAGTACCTAACAAGTTACGTTTAAAAGTTGGACCTAATATCATTAATTTGCCCCCAAACCAAGATTAAAAGACTACCTACCTACCATGCCCTGGGCAACACAGTAGAAGTCACCTATATCACCAATACTCAATTAGCCCAACAAGTGCTTCTCCCTTCCCTTATCCCCTGGCCCTGTTCTCGTTCCTTGAATTCTCTGAGCACATATTTGTCTCTCCAACTAGATCCAAGTTCATTTAAAAACAAGGGATTTATTATATTTTTCCTTACATTTCCCTAAAAAAGAAAGGATGGCAATTGAATGCCAGCATGTGCCAGGCACTGTGCTAATGCTATTACACATGTGAAATGGGAGACAGGAGTCTTGGAGCCTACATGGTGCCCCAACCAGCCCTAAGAAACTGGCTCTGATTCCCTAAAGTAAGGTAAGGCTCTGTAGTACAATTTGAAAAACAACTTGAAAGACTGCACTATACCACCACATGTGTCAAAGAAATTGTATTAATTAGGTTTCTAAGATTTTTCTCAGTGGTTTAAATTATGTGTCAAATATATTCACTAAATATGCAGTTAACTGATATTGATCAGTCGATATCTCTACCTTAAATTAATTTAATTTGAAAAATGACAAGAAAATATAAATTAAAGATGAAATGAGACATAGAGTCTATAGAATTTTATATGTACCTGTAAACTACAAGTTTCAGAACTGCCTTAAGATAACACTTTGTTTAGTGAAAACTATCACCAACATCATATGTTAGAGGAAAACAGTAAGTTCGAACAATCTTTTTAAAAGGTACCTTTTTTTTCTCCCATAACGTCTTTAGGTTCACTAGCTTTTTTTCCATTTTTTCCATTAGGAAAGTATTTTTCAAATCCTGTAGGAAAGGAAAAAATAATACATATCCTTAAACCAAAAGTCATGAGGTTTTGTATATGTGTGTTCATTTTTAGAACTGCTGATACGTCATTAAAAAGCATAAGCTGTACGTATAACATTTCTCATACAGGAGTAAATCAGTCTAAATATTACAGTTCACAGCTCGGGGGTGTAAAAGGAAGAAGTCTCATTTGCATGCCGATTTTATTACCTATACAAGTGCCACATGTGAAGGTGACACATTTTCATCATTGCAATCAGACTGAAGGAGACAACCTGAAAGACCATTTATGCGCCTGCTCAGTATACACCTGCTGTGGCATGGCTCTTTAACAAGAAAATAGAAAATTATGATCACATCTAAGTGTTTACCTTTTGGAGGTCGAGAACAGAATCTTTGATAAGCAGCAATTACATCTGTCAAAAGAGAATTTCTGCTGATCCTTTCTGGAGTTGTAACATATCGATAAAGCTGCAACATGACAGAATAAAAGCATGAATTATATCAAAATAAAGAATTTTTAAAAAATAGATGAACTGTTTCTCTATTCAACAGGTGGTTACCGACTAGCACAGAAATACCCTTTCTAAGGAGAACTAAGGTTGTCTGGCACAGGGCCACTCTATCCAGCAATAGAACCATGAGATGGAAATTCTGGTATGGAGGACAACAGTACTTCAAAATCACACATATGTTAGAATTGTAGCCAAACTACAAGGCTCTGCCAGCACATTCACTTTGGTACTGTTTACTTAATTTGCAGCATTCAAAAGACAAACTCTGACACAGAAAATCTGCTGCTTCATGCTGATTTATCTGCAGGGTCTATAATACTGCAAGATTATTTACCTGAAATTACAGGACAATGCTGCTTGTAAATATGATACTAAATTTACATTACTGATAATCCTTATACTAGTAACATTTGCTAAATTGTCATCCCATTGAGAACCTTGGGAGGTTAGGCTTTCAAATACAGATGAGAATGTTTAAAGTGAAGTTCATTTGTAATAGCATCCATCATTATTTGCCTACTTAATGGTCTGAGAAAAATAAAACATCACAAAACCATATAAACCACTTAACATCCACTAGCATGACTATAATCAAAAAGACAGATAAAAACAAGTTATTGGTGAGGATGTGGAAAAAGTGGAGTCCTCACACACTGCTGGTAGGAATGGGAAATGCTGCAGCCACTTTGGAAAAGTTTGGAATTCTCAAAATGTTAAATGTAGAATTACTATATGATCCAGCAATTCCACTCCTACTCAAGGAAACTGAAAACATATATCCAACAAAACCTTGTACATGAATGTTCACAGCAGCATTATTCATAATAACCCAAAAGTGGAAATGTAAATCCTGCCACATAAACTTTGAAAACTTAATGCTATTTTTAAAAAACCAGACACAAAATGTCACATATTATATGATTCTATTTATATGAAATGTGCAAAACAGGTAAATCCATAAATACTGTAGATTAGTGGCTGCCTTGGGCTGGAGGAATGATTAAGGAGGAAGGGGGAGTGACTGCAGATAATTACAGGACTTCTTTTTGGGGGCGATGAAAATGTTCTGGAATTAGACAATGGTGATGGTTGCACAACCTTGTGAATATACTAAAAACCATTGAATTCTACACTTTAAAATAATGAATGTTATGGTATGTGAATGTCAATTAAAAAACAAAAAAGAATGAGCTGATTTAACTTCAAATTAATAAACCATTCTACACAACAAAATAGGAAAAAAACACACACTGTTCTTGACTAACAGTAATAATGGTCTGAGAGAATTTGGAGCTTCTGTTGTATTAGGCCCTCCCCAACCCTGGGAACACTCATATAACAAATAATCACTGACAATGGATAAAAATGTATCATAAGTGAATAGTTTTTCCAATGCTACATCTATTAAGGGTGTAAATTAAAATGACCTGTTATTCAAGCTGCACAAGGCTACAAGTCACACTGATTCGTTGAGCATCTACTCTGAGCAGGTGCTGCCAAGCAGTGGGGAGTCCAGAGGGGGATCAGAACAAGTCCCTACCGGTAAGAAACTCAGAAGTGTAAGGAAGAAAGTCCTGTGGATAAACCAATTACAGGGTGGTGCAATACGTACAATACAAAACCTCTAAGTGTAAGGAATAGAGACAGCACAGAGGACAAAGTGATTACATGTTTAAGGAATCTAGGGATGTGACAAGAAAAGTGACATCTAGCCTGGTATTTGAAGGACTTATAGTTCATCAGGCAGACAGGGTTAGAACTTTTAATTTTGTTAAAACTGGAAATCTGACTTTTTTGCATGATGATCTTCAACAAGTCTTATGATATTAGGAGCCTCAGTAGTGCACCAGTAATGGGAGAAAACAACTCTGCCTGTCCAGTTCCCAGGGATACTATTGTGAAGATCAACTGTAATGACACATGTAAAAGCACTCTTAAAATTGTATGGCAACACCTACATTTAAATGATCATTTCCAATTATTATGAAAGGTATTTGAGAGGCAAGTTTCTTTTATGCCTAAATAAAGCAAGTTCTATACAAAGCTTCGTATAGAACTGGACACATGGTAAGTACTCTATAAACGTTTATTGACTAATAAGCCCCCTTTAGACTCAATTTTCAAATTCTGCTGACTTGGAATATCTCTAGCAATAATCCCTGAGACTGTATTTTATGCTGTTTGTTTTCTATAGAGGAACCATAAATGAAACCTCTATATATCTAATCCAGCCCATTCAAAAAATAAAGAGATCAATTCACAAAACTTAAGTTTAGAGCACCTCATATAAGATTAGCTTTTATCTTTGACTATATGAGAACTTTTTAGTTGCTTTATCATCAGTCTTATTACTCTAAGCATACCTGAGTACCAACATCTCACATCTCAAAATCTTTTCCCTAGGAATCTCACTGCGAGAGTAGTTGTCTCACCTTTAACAGCAGCACAAACCTAAAGAAAAATCTGCTTTATCATACTCCCCTGCAAGAAGCACAGTAATGTCCAGGTGTCCCTACTAGATCTTCAGAACAGCACCAGCGAATATATGTCACGGACCCCCCCGCACCCCAATCAATCAGCTATCACTGTCAGCTAAGGGGCCTTCCTTATACCTCAGCATTGATGATTCATAGGGACAACAGTGCCACTCAAAAGAAAGGCCTTTTAGATAAGATTCTTGATATAAAAGCTGCAAAATCATAAGGCAGATCCTACCTGCTGATTATGTCGGAGTCCAATAATCACTAGGTGTAAAAGGAGAGGAATTAGACCAGGTAAGATGGGGAAATGAATGCAGTGCACGAAACTGAAAAAAAGGCTAGTGCTGGGGCAGTATGGAAAGAGATGAAGATAATACAAGACTAACAAGGGAGCTTCAAACAGTAAAAATCATGAATGCAGGTATGGATGAAAAAGAGGTGCTGTAATAAATCTAACTAAAAGTAACATCACAGGGTGGTCCGATCATAAATTCCTAACTGGGCAGGAGAGTAGCCACACCCCAGGTATATAACTTCCTTAGTAAAAGATTTATCTTTAACTTAAGCACACCCTTTCCATTGCTTCTGTGCATCTAGGTTAACATACCTCTGAAATGTCCCTTTTTCAGATTCCTTGGAAGCATAACCACCTTCAAGAGACCATGTAATCTTAACTATCCTGTAATCTAATCCTTGCCTTGCTTTCTCTCACCTTCATTTATCTATCTACCTTACGTTCCCTCGTTAATTCTAAACGTATAAAAGAAACTGCAAAACTCATTCTTCTGAGCATTTGAGATCTTGCTTCCCGGCATTGTCATCAGTTTAGCTCAAATAAACCTATAAAAATTCTCTATAGGTTTGGACATTTCCTACTCTGAATGAGGTACTATCAATACCCCCTTTTAAGTGGAGAGGCTGAGATAATTTGCTCAAGGGCATTTGGCTAGTAAGTGGCAGATTCTTGTGACTGAGTCCAGAGCCTTTAACCACTATGCTGTTTTGACTCTACGTGAGTACGTACTTCTAGGTAAACCAGTGCAAGACTGGACTCCAAAGAACTGATAGCAAGAAATAACTGAAATAACTGATATCCACTATTGATTACAAACCTTTACTTGAGACATATGACTGCCCCAATTCTGTCAAAACACACTATCATCACTTCAGAAAAATATATTACCACTGCCCACCCAAGTGGAGCTCGGTATCTGCTGGTTATTAACAAAGAAATAGCTAATGCAACACATGCATTCTATTTTCCAATGTCATGAAAACAGGTAAACGAAGGCAACCAATGCCAAAGATATGTCGAGTTAAGTTTCTTAACCTTTTGAGGTCTCAGTTACATATCTGTAAAACAGGTTCAACCTGAATGAAGTCAAAGGACCCTCCCCAATGATCTTTCTAAATTCCCTGACGCACAAAGATCTGATTCTATTGGAGATGCATGTTTTCAAAAACCCAACTCGATACCCGGGGTTTGACACCCACTAGAGAGCTTATAGGAACCGCGGATACACGATCAGAAACGCAGGGCGTCCTGGTATTGAAAGGCAGCGCACGCGGCCTCATTCACCAGAGGACCTCGCCCCGGACGCCCCGCGGTCCGCGACAGAGCTCAGGGGCCGGTGACCTTGACGCCCTGCTCTCCGGGCCCGGAACCAGGCTCGAGGGCCGGGCTGGGGGCAGAGAGCACTGGGCGCCTGA